TTCGGCAAAAATTTTTTGTAAATATAATTATGCTTGAGCACTATTACGATCACTTGCTAATCACATTGAGATTGACGTTTGAGAGCGATCTCAAATTGTGCCTTGTTACGATTTGTTGAACGAAGGAGGGTATAAAACAGAACATGTAGATCTCAGAATCATAGCGGTAGGAAAAAAAAAGATTAAAATAATATGTGTAAACAGTAATAGTGTATAATAAGTAGAAATCTATTCCTTTTTTAAATTATGAAAAATTTATTTATACAATTATAACTGTAATATTTTATTTTACAGTTAAATCTTCTTACCGTATAGTCGAGAAATAACCGTTTTTTCGAACTTCAGCCCGAATTAAGCTTAATTTAGGCCGAAATTCGAAATTACACCCCTCCGCGTTATTTTGCGACTATACGGTAAGTACAACTCGAAGAAACCCTACTTTTGAAAGCTTGCATTTAAAGAACAGAGTATATTTGGGCCAGAATTAAAGAGGTATTACATTTAGGGGGTTATTTTAAAGAGGTTTGGCTACATTTATATTCATTATCTGTTATATGCATGATTAAGATTTCCTGATTTTTATTTTATATACTAATGTTGTTATAGCATTACATGTACAATATAATAATAGATAATTATAGAATTAAGTCACAGATTTCTTATTTTTCCATATTAGCATTTTCCTCTTCAGTACCACGTTGTGAGGAATATGCTCTAATAACTGAAGCAAAATGAATCTGTAAAAGAACAAGTAAGTTAATTAGGTATTTGGTATTATTTAAGTCTGATTAAATACGAATTTTGACAACTTACCGATATAAGAATCGCCACTCCATAAAGCACGACCGATAATACGAAAGAAACCTTGTAACCAAGTTCACAATCTTGATTTGTATTTCCACTCGCATTAGAATTCTCACAAGCACTTATAAATGTATTCTTATCTACAGCAATAAGAATAATCATAAATATAAAATACAAAATTTCACCAATTACAACAATCCAATATAAAGTAGAGTAGGTCCTTAAAAGAGATGCTCTTGGCTTGTGTGTTATAAAAAGAATTAGTATAATGAATTTCACAACTGCTGAGACTATAACGCTATCAAATATATAGCACATACCCTACAACAAAGAACCATAGTTCCAAAACCAGCGATTAAAAGGAATATGGCATGAACAATTAAATTCACAATGTAGTATCCTTCGCTATCTAAAAATGTAAGCAACATTAACATCTGATGACCAGAGAAAAGGAAATCAAGCGAATGAATAAATAATTCATACATTGGCAATTAGTGCATTTTCCTTGTTGAGCGATAACTGTTAAAGAACTGATAACGTTAGCTAATGATCCAAGCTAGTATTAGGAAATAATTTTAATTAGCACATAAATAATTTTAATTAAAAATATAATTATTTATTCGCATTGAAAGGTATCTTACCAGCCAGAGAATTGTTATAATAATAGAACCTGCTCTTAATGAAATGCAACAACAACAATGTGTAGGTCTGCATAATGAGCCCATTTTGATTATTCAAAGATAAATTTTAACGTATTGGTTTAAAACCAAATTCTCAAATGATTGAAATTATGTCTATTTATAAAATTAATAATATTGCCGATCATATAATTTTGGAACAATGGAACTAAATTATAGTAATAGACATACTTGTATGTATAAACGATTCTGAAGAAATTCAACTCTGTTATAGAAAGATCATCGAGGTCATTAACAAATAACGTCAAGAACTTTATGTACTTGTATGGATAAATTAAATATAGAGAATGGGGTTGGTTCAAAGGTAGGAATACCATATTTTACAAGCGACTGCTTTATAAAGACAATAGTTATAGTGCACTGACATTAATTTTTCTACGTACTCGTATGTACTATGTAATACGCGTGATACGCGTCTATGTGGATTATTACGTTTTTTAGTATATTATTACCATTATAATTTTTCGGTATCTCGTGACATTCTTTTAGATGGGCTTAGATAGTGTTACGCTGTACTAAATTTCATTTATTTGTCTTTAATATTACTGTTTTTATACATATTATTTTTTTCATATCAGCGGATTTGCAAAATTAGGGGTCCCTGGATTTAAACAATTGCAGAATGCATAATACGTAGCTGAGATTTTGGGGTCAGGTTTACAATCGCATTGTTAAAATATATGGACCTTAATTTGGTCAATTCCGTAAATGTGTTTTTTCAGTGATTACAAATTCCTGATATTATGATTTGTAACAATTCGCATCACGTGGGTTTCCCAAATTTACTACGTATACAACGGCGTCTTCAAATGCTATCGATTAAAAATTGAGGTGCGTGATATAGCAATACTGATTAAAATGTAACGTACGTACGTATGTCAAATTTTAATGCAAGAAAATAAAGCATTTTACAGCTAAATTGAAAATTAGTGGGACACTTGAAAAATTTGCTCGTTTTGGATTTCGTCTTATGAACAATCTAACTCTCCGGAAATTACATCACTACTTTCGGACTGAAATTCCGAAGAGTTAGATGAAGAAGCCGAAGAAGGGCCTCGGGAAATGAACAAATTTTTCAAGTCTCACAATTTTCAGCTGTAATATGTTGTTTTTTTTTTTTTTACTATATTACTTCGAATGTTTCATTAATTTTTTCGTTTTTTTTTTTTTATTTCAAACCTTACAAATAATCGAAAAAATGAAAGACATAAAATGAATCGTTAAAATACGATCGCTGTCTAGCTATTTTACAAAACTCGTCAATAAACTTGAAAATCTAAGTGGGATCCTATTACCTTTAAATTAGAACGTTCAATCAGATAGAGTACTGTAACGATTAGGGTTCGAGGCACAGAGGCATGGGCATGCCTTTTGGGCATGCCTACAGGCATGTCACTTAGGTCGCTCTCAAGCGCCTCAATCAATGAGTCAAAAAGTGTCTGGGAATAAATTTTACTTAGCGGAAAATATT